TGGATCACGTGGTCATTGGACTGCACAGCATTGTTGTGGATCAAGTATTCACTCTCAAATCCCAGGAACTCCATCACGTCCTTATCTCGATAGTGTAGCTTGTTGATCCTTGGAGTGTACAGCACCAAGACAGTCCTCTTCCCGACCCACGGCTGAACTTCATGCCATCGGCGAGGATTGAACTTGAAGGCTCGACCCACCTCCAACTTATGGGAGAACCCCTTTTTCCACAACTTGCGAGACACTTGCTTCCACTCTGCGTACCTCGCGTCGATGTCCTCATGTTCCAACCATAACTCTCCCCCACAATCAGGAGCCTGTAGCATCATGACCACATTTTCTGAGTCCACCTCATTGTGTGAATCCTTATGACACCCATTGTCCATGTCTTGCAGCACACCTAAGGCCGTAAAGCTTCGATGCCCAGTGAGCCTTTTAGCCACTTCCACCATGTACCTTGTACTCCACTTCAGTCTTGTAGTCGAAGACCTCAAACCAGCCACACCCCCATGAACAAACATGCCGGTGTACCATGACGAGCCCGGTGACGACGCGGCTCTTCCTGACACATGCTTCCCTCGAGCTGTTTGGAGATACTCATACAAGGTCAACATCGCTTGCATGGACCAATCCCCTTCCTTCCACAAGCACTTCGCCTTGAGCTCAGCCGCCTCCTCCTCAGCCGTCAACGGGTGCTCGCCTTGTATCCGTGCCAACCGCGTCTTCCTTCGAACTCTCCTCTCGGGCAGAGGTAGCTCAACTTCTCGAGGCTCCAAATCCACCAGCTCGTCTGCATTAATTAACTTCTGCTTCAGGTGCAAGCTTGTGACAAACGTGCCGTCGGGGAACCGTACCACGTGCCCATGTTGAACATCTTCTGAAGGTCCGACATACACCCCCTGCGCCCACTTGTTGTCCACATCGTACTTCCCGGCCCTGCCATAGATCTTTGTCCTGACATGAACGGGAGTCCCAAAGCAAGGAAGCTCATCGGTCCTTCCCAGGGCCTTGTGTCGCTGTCGGGCTGTGGCATACCGCATAGCTAAGGGCCATGTTTGTTTCGGCAACTGCGCTGTTGTCATCAACAGTCTGGCTTCGGCCTTCACAAACTTGACAGTGGCTTCGGCTCTTCCATTCTGTTGGGGTGTTTGAGCTTCTCCTGTGGTAGCCAAGACTCCACGGTCTAATAGCCATTCGCGAAGACGACGATTGCAAAGCTCCATTGCTCGATCTGAGTGCAACCTGAACACCTCCAATCCATCCGCCCTCACTTGCAAGTACATCTGTCTCACCCGAGCATTGACTTCCGAAGCTCTCCTGGACCTCATCGGCACAGCATACCTAAGCACCTGATAATCCATTTTGTCGCCCACCTCCTTGACCAGCTCTTGGTACTCGGCGTTGAGTCGATCCATGTCTGCTTGATCTACATCGTCCACAGGAAGCCCGATATCTTCCTCGTCAACCTCGAACACCCCTTCCAGATCTACTTCGGCCTCTTCACCAGCGCGCTCTAGACCTGGAGCTTCTGGTGATTCTGCTTCACCATCA